AATATGATAAGAATATAGGATAAAAGACACTATCGGGTAGATGTTATTGATAATACATCACTGAATATTTGTAACTAGGGTAGACTTTAGTGGAGGTAAATTCTCTCTCGAGCAACTTACCCCGAATCAACTCGGTTTCTCTCGAACATCGAGTTGTTATATTTAAGCACATCCTCCGCCTTAGCCCATTCACTCTCTTGAGCTGAAAGTGTGGGAGAGGGCTTAGGATCGCTCTCTCGAGCTGAACCCACGACTATCCAATAACCACCGACTATCGATTTAGTAGTCTTAGTTTTAAAATCTCTCTCTCTCTCGAGTAAGCCAAAAACACTGAGATGAAATCATATTTGCAACTACAATCTCATTAAGTTCAAACACAACTACTAAATGAAATCACATTTAAACAACGAATATACCAACAATAAGCAACACCCAACAGTACATTTAACCCATATTCACAAAATCACATCCCAAGAATTGGGGTTTTATCTAGACATGAAAAAGAGATAGAAACCGATACCAACAAGTGTTTCCATCAAGTGGGTACGATGAATAAAGTCTTTAAAAACGTCAAGGATGAAGATTCTTCGAGACCCACTTCTAATTTCCTGAAATTGAAAATCTTCAAATCTTCAAGTTCAAGCACAATGTCTCCAAAAACTCTAAGAACTAAAATTGAAATATTTAGTCTCCAAATATAAAATTTGTCTGTAAAGTCTGATGTCTGATACTAAGCTAACAATTTAAACAAGTATTTATAGTGTTTGAAAATTTGAGTTGCGGAGGATCACTCGACGCAGTTAGTCGGGATGGCCGACACACTCGGCGATCCGCCCTTTGGTCTGGTACATCACCTTTCTTCTTTTGTCTTCAACATTCTCGCATTTTGAGGCATTGGGCGATAGAGTGTTGCTTCGCGGAACTGCTCGGCGCGCCGATTGATCCTTTTCATTGCAGACTTGACCTTCTCCTTCAGGACTCAGCACACTGGAACATTCAACGGGATTTAGGACCTTTTGGCGATTCGCCTAATGGATTAGGCGATCCTCAGGGAGTCCTTTCTCTGTTCTTTTAGCCGCTTTGTTCCTTTTTGCTTGATAGCGTCCAAGCTTTGTCTCTTAATCTAAATACCTGAAACTTAAAGGTTTACTTCAGTTATTGAGACAAAATATGCATTTGAGGACACTAATTCTATTAAAATATATCCCTAAATGAGTCCAAATTGTGGACTCATCATACACTTGCGTGTGCGATTTGGGTGCAACAAGTTTTTGGCACCGCTGCCGAGGACTTTAGAATTAGAAAGCATTTGATTTGTCTAATTTCTGAAGTTAAAAAGCAAGTGTTGACAACTTGATCTTAGCAATTCATTCTGTAGGTTGTGTTGAATTTCCAAATTGGAAGACGATCAGGACTTGGTAGAGCCTCTAGCTGAACCAGAAAGATTCGTTCACTAGCAGAGAAGGAAAAGACAACTCACTTACCATGTCCCTCTTGTTGCAGGTGAACCAACAACTCCTATAGCAAGAGTTGAGCGAGAAGAACCTGTACTAATGGTTGAGATGAAAGTAAGAGCCGTGGCAATCCCACATACCACCAATGTGACTTCATGCATTCAGAAACCTGAAGCTAGTGGAAGATTTGAACTGAAGTAGAGTATGGTGCAGCTATTGCACATAAATGGACAGTTCACTTGAACTGGTTTATCACATGAGGATCCAACAGTCCATATCCAAAATTTCCTCGAGATCAGTGATACTTACACTCCAGCTGGAGTAAATGTAGACTACGTGACGCTCACTTTATTTCCCTTTTCTCTGCTGGGGAAAGCAAAAAGTTGGTTGAATTATGTGCCCGCTAACTCCATTACCTCATGGGATGATCTTGTACAGAAGTTCCTTATTAGATTTTTACAATCTAGAAAATCAATTAAGTTAAGGAGCGACATACTAAGCTTCCGTCAAAAAAGAGAAGAGAACTTGTACCAGGCTTGGGATAGGTTTAAATCAATGTTGATGAGTTGTCCGCATTATCATCAGGCTAACGAGGTGTTGGTCCATACTTTCATTGAAGGATTGGAGCCTAATACCAAGATTTTACTTGATTCAACTGCAGGTGGACAGGCTTTGGAGAAGACTTATGCTGAGTTATTCACCCTGCTGAATAGGAATTCACAGGGTAACCTCGAGTGGAACGGAGGAGGAGCTAAACCTGTGATACAGAAAACTGTTGGAATGTTGGAGGTAGATGCAGTGACTGCCTTAACTGCACAAATTTTTGCAATGCAGAACATGATGAACACTCACTTCAGCAACCTATTGTTGGGACAACAGCCAGCCTAGGTGAATGTAGTCTAACAACCATCGACTTGGTGTAAAATTTATGGAGGAGGAGATCATAGTGCATATGTATGTGGTGCAAACTCGGATTCTTTAAATTTTGTTGGGAGATGCACAACGTGGAGGAGGTCATCAGAACTATGGAAACTCCTACAACCCTAGTTGGTGGAATCATCCGAATTTTTTCCGGGGAGGTAATCAGAATCAGGCCCAAGGCCAAAATCAATATACACCCAAGGGAATGCACATGGGTATCAACAACAGGCCCAACAGGAGCAACCCAATGAGCAGCCAAGTAACATGAGCATGGAGGAGATGCTGAAGAAGATCATGGCTAATCAAGCTCAGTTAGCTGCGGATGTTAGAAATAATCAGTTAGCTACTCAGAACCTAGAGAAACAATTTGGGTAGTTTGCTAGTGCCCAGAACTCACGACTGCAAGAAGGTTTATCGAGAAACATTGATCCTAATCTCAAGCAAGTGAATGCAGTAGTTACACGCAGCGGGTTGTAGTTGGAGGAGTTGGCTCCTAAGAAAAGAAATGATGGATTTGCTATCAAGGAGAGTGAGGTTGTTTCACAAGAACAAAAAGTGCAACCAATAGTGAAACCACCTTCTCCATTCACTTAGAAGTTTAAAAAACAAAAGGAGGATGAATGTTTTGGTAAGTTTCTCTCTCTTCTAAAGCAAGTTCATATTAATTTACCATTGGTAGATGTTTTATAGGGTATACCCAGGTATGCAAAGTATGTGAAGGAGATCGTGGCAAATAAGAGGAGGCTGACTGGATATGAGACTGTAGCACTTATTGAAGAGTGCAACCCCCGAATCCAGAGTAAGTTTCCCACCAAACTGAAAGATCCGGATAGCTTTATGGTTCAGATCATTATATGGCAGAGCATCCATGCGCGAGGATTGTGTTATCTAGGAGCTAGTATAAACTTGATGCCAACATCGTTGTACAAAAAGTGGGGGTTGGGTAGTCCTAAGCCCATTACCATTATCTTGTAGTTGGCATATAGATTTGTTGCTAGGCCAGAGGGTGTTGTAGAGGATGTCTTAGTACAAGTGGGATCTTTGATATTCCTAGTAGATTTTGTGGCCTGATCCTGAGGTTCCATTCATCTTGGGGAGACCTTTCTTGGCTACAGAGTGTGCTATGATAGATGTAGCAGCCGAGCAACTTACTATGCGGGCACATGACAAAGTGGAGGTGTTTGATGTTTACAAGGCGCTGAAACTCCCAGCCATGTATGAAGAGTTGTCTGCAATAATGGTGATAGATCTTGAAGCAAAAGCTCGATATATTGCATCCAAGGACCCGTTGGAGAGTGTGTTAGTGGGACTTGATATATATGGGGATGCTGAAGCACAGGATATGGTACAGTTTTAGGATGTGTCAAGTGTGGGCACGTCAAGAGATCATTGGGAGCCTTTGACCAGGGTGTTGAGTCCTCCTCCCAAACCTTCCATTAAAGAAGCACCCAAGCTGGAGCTTAAAACATTGCCAGCCCACCTCAAGTATTCATTTTTGGGTGAAGAAAAGACTTTACCGGTATTTTGTCTGCAACACTATCTGAATCACAGGTGGAAGCAACATGGAGTATCATGAGGAAGAGAAAAGCAGCACTAGGTTGGCAAATGTCCAATATTCACGGGATAAGTCCTGCGTTGTGTATGCACAAGATTTACATGGAAGAAGGGCATAAGTCGAGTGCACAACATCAACGGAGACTGAACCCAGTGATGAAGGATATGGTAAGAAAAGAGGTGATCAAGTGGTTAGATGTGGGGATTGTGTACCCCATATCTGACATCAAATGGGTGAATCTGGTACAGTGTGTGCCCAAGAAGGGCGTAATGAGGGTGATAACAAATGAGAAGAATGAATTGATCCCCACAAAGATAGTAACTGGGTGGCGTATCTGCATGGATTACATGAAGTTGAATGATGCCACCAGGAAGGACCATTATCCGGTGCCATTTATTGATCAAATATTGGATAGACTAGCGGGGCAAGAATATTAATGCTTCCTGGATGGCTACTCAGGGTATAATCAGATGGTCATTGCACCAGAAGATCAGGAGAAGACTACCTTTACTTGTCCGTATGGAACCTATGTGTTCAAACATATGCCATTCGGATTATGCAACGCACCGGCAACATTCTAGAGATACATGATGGCAACCTTCCATGATATGGTGGAGAATTTTGTTGAGGTGTTCATGGACGACTTTTTGGTGTTTGGTGAGTTTGATCTTTGTTTGACTAATCTTGACAGGGTCCTTGCAAGATGTGAAAAGACAAATTTGGTGTTGAGTTGGGAAAAATATCATTTCTTAGTTCGAGAAGGGATTGTACAGGGGCAAAAAATCTCAAGAAATGGGCTGGTAGTTGACAGAGCCAAGGTGGAGGTCATTGAGAAGTTGCCAGCACCCATCACTGTGAAGGGAGTTAGAAGCTTTCTGGGACATGCTGGCTTCTACAGAAGATTCATCAAGGACTTTTCTAAGACTGCAAGACCCATGTGCAGCCTATTGGAAAAAAAGGTGAAGTTTGTATTTGATGAAAGTTGTTTGTAGGCATTTGAGTTGTTGAAGAAGAAGATGATAGAAGTTTCTATTCTAATTTCTCCTAATTGGGAGTTTCCATTCGAGCTCATGTGTGATGCTAGTGATACAACAATTTTTGCAATGCTAGGGCAGCGTAAGGAGAGGAGGTTTCATTCCATCTACTATGCTAGCAAGACACTTGATGCAGCTCAATCGAACTATACTGTCATAGAGAAAGAGATGCTAGCATTAGTATTTCCCTTTGATAAGTTCAGGTCGTACTTGGTAGTCACTAAGGTTGTTGTTTACACTGACCATGTTGCAATCAGGTATTTGTTCAACAAGAAGGATGCAAAGCCGAGGCTAATTAGATGGATATTTATCTTGCAAGAGTTTGATCTAGAGATTAAAGATAGGAAGGGGACTAAAAACTAGATAGTTGATCATCTATCTAGATTGGAGGACTCATTTCATGTAAGGAATGAATGACAGATTCGCGAAGAGTTCCCCGATGAGCAATTGCTTGCCTTGGACCTTGCTTAAGTACCCTATATACTGATATTGTGAACTTTCTGGTGAGTGGTTTATTTCCACCAACAACCTCAACACACCAAAAGCAAAAGTTGAAGTATGAGTCACAATTTTATATATGGGATGAGCCTTTCTTATTCAAGCAGGGACCTGATCAAATGGTGTAAATGTGTATATCTGAAAAGGAGGCATTGCAAGTGTTTGAGAGTTGTCACTCTTAACCTTATGGTGGACATCACGGAGGCGAGCGCACGACTCAAAATGTACTACAATCTGGCTTTTTTGGCCTACTTCATTTAAGGATGCTGCATTTTTTGTGAAGGACTGTGATCAGTGTCAGCGGGTGGGCACTATTTCTAGAAGGCATGAGATGCCACTGAGCAACATTATGGAAGTTTATATCTTTGATGTATGCGGGATAGACTTCATGGGACCATTCCCATCTGCCAATGGAAATCAGTACATCCTAGTGATAGTGGACTATGTGTCCAAGTGGGTGGAAGCAGTTGCTCTACCTTCTAATGATGCGAAGGTGGTAGTAAAGTTCATCAAGAAGCATATATTCACAAGTTTTGGGACTCCAAGAGCTATGATAAGTGATGGAGGGACGCATTTCATCAACAGTTCAATGCGAAATCTGCTGGCCAAGTATGGAGTGAGACATAAGGTAGCCACAACGTATCGTCCCCAGACTAATGGGCAGGTGAAAGTGTCCAACAGGGAAGTAAAGCAAATTCTGCAAAAGACTGTGAATGCTTGAAGGAAGGATTGGGCTGAAAAGTTAGATGATGATTTGTGGGCTTACCGAACTGCATACAAGACACCGATATGGACTTCTCCTTATCAAATAGTGTTTAGAAAAGCATGTCACCTTCCAGCGGAATTGGAGCATAAAGCGTATTGGGCTATCAAGAAGTTGAATCTGGATTATGAGTTAGCAGGAAAGAAAAGAATAACACAGTTGCATGAGTTAGAAGAATTCAGGCTCCACGCGTATGAAAATGCCAAGTTATACGAAGAGAAGACCAAGAGGTGGCATGACAAGCATATTGTGTCACGCACCTTTGAGCCTAGGAAATTGGTGTTGCTGTTTAATTCAAGATTGAAGTTGTTCCCCGGAAAACTTCGATCTAAGTGGAGTGGATGGTTTGAAGTTGTGCAAATGACCCAACATGGAGTTGTGGAGCTAAAAAACAAGGATAAGAACTTCACTGTTCTTGTGAATGAGCAACGAGTGAAGCACTAGTTTGGGACTGATGTTGATCATGAGCAAGAACCGCTCATATTGAATGATGATTGAGTCATGAGTTGGGTCGTGCCGTGACGTTAAATCAGGCGCTGCACGGGAGGCAACCCGTGACCCCTTGTAATAGTAAGGATTTTTATTCTTTTGTTTTGTTATTTCAATTCATAAATATATGTATACAAAGGAAAAGCACAAAAATATGAGTCGTGCCACGACCAAAACTAAGGCACTGGATGGGAGGCAACCCATCGTGTTTACACTAATGGGTGGTGTGTTCAAAATGTGTAGGAAACAAGAATTGGCACACATAGTGCGTCACAGAGAGAGTTTCAATTTTTGCCTCGCTAGAAATTAATTCATTTTTGGCGAGGCAGAACCCTCCGTAATGTGCACGCGTCGCGAAGGGTCCTTGGATTTTTGGGTTCGATGGGAATTAAATTTTCATCAAAAACAAGGAAGGTCCATAACCAACGCGCGTCGCGGATCAAGGTAAAAAATTTGCTTCACCTTTAATTTTACAGAATGAGGCAGAGTGCTTTGTGATGGCCCCACATCGCACTACCAGGTGAGTATTTTTGTTTCTTCATTAAAAAAATGGGTTTTACCCGTCTGTCTTCAAAATACACGACCTACGTTTTTTTTTATTCCCCAAATTCCCGTCCTCAAACTCCACTTTTCTCCCAAATTCCCTTCTATCTTAGTAATTTTTCTCCATCCCTTCTCCCCTTGCAATTTTTTGAGGTTCAATCCATAACGCGAAGCCGATTCCGCCTCCTCTTCTCTCATTTTCCATCTCCTTCAACATCTCGGGCATGTTCTGTACTCTACTTTCTCACGATTATTAGTCATTGAGGAAGGGTGGTGCTGTTTTGGTATGCTTGTATTAATGGGTGGTCATGGTTGCGATTTGTGGTGAAGGTAAAGTACTATATGTGTTTTATAATGGATAGTTCGAAGTCTTCAGTAAACCTAACCTATTGTTGCTTGCCTTTGGGCATAAGGTGATTAGGAGGTTGGATGTACATGTTTGGAAATCGTATTGGGTTTGGTCACTTGGTACAGATTGTTTGGTTTCTAAATTTTATTGGGTATTTCGAATGCTGGAGTAGAAATTCCCTTTACTTGCTATTGTTTGAGTCTTGTTGCAGATATGGTTGTCTGAATATGTTAGTGTGCCAAAAATTTGGCGGTGTTGGCTGAATGACATTGTTTGTTCATGGATATATATATGGTGTGAATTCTTGAGTAACACTAAATGTTTATTGATATGTGGAATGGTGCGTGTGGGTCTAAATCCTAGTGTTGAGGTTGAGTGTGTGTGACTGACGTTAGGGTGCCTACGTGAGTATATGTGTTGTTATGCTATAGAGGTCGGGTTGTTGTTGTGGGTGTTGTGTGTTCACCTTTGGGAAGTCTGAGTACCAAAAATGAATCGATGTATGAATTAAGTGTGGGGTGATTTTTGCGCATCACCCATAACTTATTGTGTTTTGTCTGTGTTGTAGGCTGAATTATATTTTTATTACAGGTAATCATGTCTGGCACTCAAAGACACGAAAAGGAAGTGGCAACATCTAGCCAACGGAAGCGTGTTCAAAGTGGGGGGGAATGTACCTCCCGCACCTTCAGTACCCAGGGGTCAAACCAAGCGGTTCGGGATGCGAGCAGTGGTTAAGGAAGGGAAAACATGGTGGAAAAAGCACACCGAGGCGAGATATTTCTCTAATGTGTGCATTGACAGGGACAACTTGGCATGGGAGTTTCCTCGGATATTGAGGCGGATCCAAGAGCTACACATGGAGTTCATTTTTGCGGAGCCGAGTGAGTGCAACTTGCACATGGTTCGTGAGTTCTACGCCAACTGGGCAATGGAGTCCCGATCCCATTTTGTGAAGGTGCGGGGAGTGGATGTCACTCTCACTCCCGTGGTTCTCAATGAGATTATTGGTACGTCACCGGATGCCGATCAACTTGTGCTCATAGGGCTGAACATCTGCCCATCTTACCGGGCCATTCGACACACTTTTTGTGGTCCTCAGTCGATGGTGTAGTGGACCAAACACAGCGGGAAGAGATATCATCAATCTCTACCCTACGCGCACATACTCAGGGAGGCTTGGGTTTGGCTCAAATTAGTGATGAATTGTTTGATACCTAGGCTACATTACACGGACATCACCCGTGACAGAGTGTGTCTGGTCTACGCTTTGATGACGCCCACAGTGTTAAACATTCGGGTTGTATTGAAATCGGCAATGAGGAAGGCCTGGGTTTATAAAGGGCGCAGGTATGCATTTGGTGGTCTCATTACTAGACTTTGTCGTGCTGCAGGTGCACCGGAGGAGAATTTGGATTACATGGCACCATTATTCCCAGCGTCGATAGATATCACGAAGACAAAGGGACCCGATACTGAGTTTGGCCCAACACTCACTACCGCAGAGCGCTATAGACATGATAAGCTGATCATGGCCAGGATGTATGGGCTGGAGATGTTGCGCCACTAAAATGGTTGTCGGGCATCGACTGATGTGCAACTGGGCGACGTCGATAGAAGGTACATGTTGAATGCACATGCCAAGGCCTTGCTTGGCATTGGTCCTGCTTTTCATGAGCCTATGGACGATGACATACCCACCGATGAGGATAGACAGCACACTGGCTTGGATGTGGAGTCTGATTCTAATGAGGAGGTGGACCCTGCTCAGGCCGGTGATAAGGTCGACGGGGGAGATGCTATGGATGATTGATTAGGGAGTGTTTCACCTTACCTCTGTACTAAATTTTGTGATTTTTTTAAGCACTAGGGACAGTGCTAATGTTTAAGTGTGGGGTGAGGGTGAAATTATCTCTGGTTTGTATATATTAATGAACTATGGTAGTGTCATATGTCTATCTTGTATTTTTTTTGTTTTGTTATTATTTGGGTTCCTTGGAGGTTGTTTTCAGTTCTTTGGCCAAGGAGAGTCCCTTTGAACCGTACAAAATACAAAAAAGATTTTGTCTTTTTAGGATTGAGTCAGTAGTCGTAGTTGAGTCGCATTTCCCTATGATAGATGCATGACGACTGTCTTAAGGGCAATTTTCGTCATTGAGTCTTATTTTGGTATGTGTTGAAGCTTGAAATTCTGAAAGGAGACTGTATGAAAGCATGATTGGAAGTTGATGTAGGAATGCAGTTGAACTTTGGTATTTGACTTTAATGAGTACAACTTATGCTTAAATAAAACCTTGTGCAAGAACTGATTGTGTTGCTGTGATTGATCTATCTTGAGTAGAACTTGTGCCATGAGCGGTGAGGTATTGTAGTATCCATGTAATGCATCTGATTCTAGAACATGTCCGGCATGTTATTGAAGCGAAATAAAAAGTGGCGTTTTGTTTAGGAGATGATAATAGGCTTTCTTTGATTTTTCTTGTAAATGTTAGCCTTCTCAGAGAAAATATCCCTAGTATAGCCCCATTGAGCCTTTTAGCCTTGATTTTGTTTCAACCTACTTAATTGAGCCGAATCCCTTTTATTGATACAATTAGTTTTGATCCCAAAGTAATCTCTAATGCACTATGTTAAGATGAAAAAGTGAAAACAGCGGAAAGAGTAAATAGGGTGGAAATGTTTGGTTTTGTGGGGAAGAAAGAAAAGAGGTAGAAAAATGATGCCCCATAAGTTCCTAAATCTGTGATTGGCCCTGGCCCTTTGGACATTGTGCACTTCGACTCCAGGTAAGATCCTGAGTTGAAGGTGGCTAATTCGGAGAATACCTTAATAATGGCCCTGGTCCTTACAAGGACAATGTGCACCTTGACTCGAGAGAAATCTATAAGTTGAGGGTGGCTATCGTTAAGTGTAAAATAAAAGAGATAAATAAGGGGATGTGTAGAAAATAAGGGCGTGGGTGGAAGTACTAGTGGAAAAATATGTAGAAAGGGGGGGCTAAAGAAAAGAAAAAGTTGTGAATGTAGCAAGAAAATCAAAACAGGTGCATTAGGGAGGATAAGTCACTAATTTTACCTAAATGTATCCTCCCATACCTCAAGCTTACATTACAACCCGTAAAGTCCTACTTGATTCTGGGCAAAGCACGCTTAATTAGTGGAGATGTACATAATGGGCAAGCTTATGGTTCTCGATGCATGCATGTATGATGTCTTTGTTGAGTGAGAGCATACTATTTTTGTAAAGTCCTTAGACTATATTTAATTTGCTGAGTTAAGTGTGCGGACTATTATTTTGAGTGAGGGGAACTTGTTGTATGAAATATAGGTGATGTGTAATGGTGCACATGAAGTTGAATGTGTTGGTTGCAAAAAGTTTACGAGTCAATTACTTGAGTTGTATGATGTATGAAAGTGGGCAAGACCTATTGTGAGCGAGAATATGCTTGTTATAACTGATTACAGATCCGTAAAAGGAAGTGGTGGATGCACAAATATCATAGTAGGGAGTCTAGGTCTAGGATTAGTTAGTAAGTTGTTAGAGGATGAACAAAGCTCTAAGTGTGGGAAAGTGATCTTAGGCGTATTTACATGCCTAGGAACCAAATAATACCTGCATTTAAGCCAAGTTTGGAATTAATTTCTGTTGATTAATAGTCGTGTCGAGTCTTTTGATTGTATATATATGTTAACCAACATGATTAGTTGTGTACGTAAGCTTGAATAAAGAAACGAGCACTAAAATGGGCTTTGGGAAACACCAAAGGATCCAAGTTTAAAAGAAGCAAGAAAGAAATGGAGATCAAGAAGGGATTTTAATTTCGTTCGAGAAGTAGTATTTGAGGCAGAGTGGTCCGTGTAGTGGCCGCGTCGCGGAGAGGAGTATTGTCACGACCTGAGAGCACCCCCTAGTCGTAACCGGCGTACTCGACCTCGAAGAGGTCTAATACAAGCCTCTTAGCATTCATTCATCGCATAGACACTAAAACCATAAGGAATTTAAAACTTTCTTTACCAAGAAAACATTTCATAATAAAAAAAAGATAATAGCAAGCGGAAGACTT